AATTTATGATCTCTGTAAAACTGTTAAGAATATTATGAATAAGTTAATAATTCATATATAATAATTATAGTTAATATATCTATGTTTATGGATGTCTAAATATACTAGTATATACTTATATAATTATATATAATATTACATTTGGTTTATTTGTATTAACAATTATTGACGACAACTGCATTAAGTAAGTATTAATTAAAATCCTTCCACAAATCTTTATATAGGATTGTAAAAAATAACACATTTTTTTGTTAATCTAAGGAGTGCTTGCAATTTCTGAGACCTGTACCAACTTCACAAAATGTGGATCGCATAACGTTGTAAGCACACCTCTAATAGTTCTACAATGTCTTGGTGATAGGGGGATTTAGCAAAAATAAATGTACATGAAAATATATACTAAATACTATATATTCAATATAATCTTAATGCTTTTCATTTTATATTAATTAATTAATTTTAATCAATTTTAATGTATTCTAAGTACTTGAATATAAAATCAGACTCACTTGGTCATGTTCCTCAACTCTGTCACCGTTTCCAGAATCCAACTTCGATCTCAACATGCGCTGAATTTCTCTCTCTTGAGCATTCAAATCCAATGTTTTTAATTTATTGTCGCTCAGTAAACCCAGTTTTGAAAAAGAATTCAACTCCGATTTGAGAAGAGTTCCATCAATTTTTTCGTCCGGTTGCGAGTTAAAATTGTAAATCGAAAACATTTTTACAAGAACTAAAATTTTCCTTGTGTTGAAAGAGTATTTATAATTTTTTTTAAACAAACTTTAGTTTTGGATAATATTAAAAACTTTTCAACTGTGAAACTTTTTATTTGCATTAACTTTTAATATTTAATCACAAATTACATGGATAGACTTGCAAAGGTTAGGAAATATTCAAACATACCCATTTATATTGTTATGGAAGGATTATTCTAACAATTTCATGAAGAACATGTTTAAGTATAAAATTAGAACTAGAATATATTTTGAGTACAAACTTCTTACGATAGTCTAATGTCTAAAATATTTTTATCAGATTATATAATTTTATAAGTCAATTCTAACTGATGGTGATTTCAGTTGAATATTAAGTTTATGATTTTAATTCATACAATTTTATATAATATCAAAATTTTATGTTGAAGCTATTTTAGTCAGTGCACTTGAGCACTTTTACTCTTTCTTCACTCGAGGTATTTTTAAAACTCCTCTGTACGCCTTGACTGGATTATTGTTGATCACTTCATCAGACTAAGCAATAATTGACCTCTGATCTGCATACATCCCCGAGGAGCCTGTAAACATTCTGAGATTTGATAACGCGGTGTTGGTAAGTCTGTCAAAATTTTAATATCTATTTGTGCCTAATATATTTGGTTTATATTTAAAACTTTTTTCTTGTTGTTTTGTGATCGTTTTCTGCCTGGATATCCATAGCTATAACCTCTATTTTATATTCAACCCATCAAATACTTGGCTAATGCCATTAAAGGGATATTTTCTGCTAGTTGTTTAGCACCAATTCTTAGATCACCTCACGCAATGACCATATCTCTGAAAGTTTTATCTTAGTGTCTTAGAACAAACTACTTACGTTAGCTTAAATCCATGGCGTGGATTTTTTAGTAGTAGAGAAAAATGATATATTGAAAAGTTTGGTACTTTAGATTAGGTTCTCATATCAGAGAAAACTAAACAGCCACTATAGTTCAGTTTAGTTACATATTTTTGGAAAAACCAATACAAAAGAAAAAACAATATATTCATGTTGTAAACAAGAATTTCTTCTATTAAATTATAAAATAAAAAAATAATTTATTTTCTTCTAACTATTATTATTATTATTTTTTGTATACTATATTTGAAAAGGCTAGATATATTATTATTAAGGTTTATATTAGTTTTATGTGGATTTATAGTACATCTTATTAATTTCCTTATATAGTTAAAATAAAATTATATTAAAATACCTTCAGATAGAGCATTCAACAATTAAGGAATAAATTTTGTGTTGGATTTTCAACTGTTTGACCTAGGCTAGTTGCCATAGTTTTGAAAAAAATAAGTCGTTGGCCACAGACTTCTTGGCAAAAGTTTTCAAGTTTTTGTAAATATTTGTTTTTAAAAGTTTTAACAATTAATTAAATAATATTAAAGTTCATGTTTAAGAAAAAAAATTATATTTTTTTTACATAACATTAATTTATGGAATCATATCTTACCAGTATATTTTATTTTATTTCCTGTACCACTATACTAGAAAACAATACAATTTATTATAAATTATATATTACATATTTATAAATATTAAATATTTATATAAATATCACTAATTAGTTACAATGTAATTAGTAGTTCTTAAATAGATTTTGCAAAAATATATTGTAAGAAATTATTTATTCTTGAGAATAACTATTGTGATATAGACAAACATTAATATAATTTATATCAACAAGTTATGAACTTAAAGTCCTCTCTTTTTAATTTCCTTGGATAATGTCTTACTAAGACTAGTTAGGTTATTAGAGATAACAAGTCTTAGTAAGACACTATCCAAGGAAATTAAAGGACTTTAAGTTCATAAATTCCATTACAAATAATCTTTATTACGCCTAGATCAGAACACACACGGGAGTTACTTTCCCTCTCTAACTTTTTGTTGATATAAATTATATTAATGTTTGTCTGTATCACAATAGTTATTCTCTAGAATAAATAATTTCTATATATAATATATATTATTTTCCTAATTTGCCTAATTTTCCTTAATGCCTAATTTCTCAATTTTCTCTTTGATCATATCGACCCTTAGGACTTTGAGAATATACGTATTAATATTTCTTATAAACCAGAGAACTCTGCAAATACTATTGGATTGTACAAATACTATCTAGTACTCCATAGTTGCATCGCATATGTCCAGCACGGTTTTATCATTGTAATAAACAGAAACATTTTATTAGATAAATACTAGATTGATAGTTACATCTTTAGTTCAAAATATTTTAACATAAGTAAGTATTATGCATTAAATCTAAAAAAATCGATTAGAGTTACTTAAAATTATATTGAAAAATAAAAAATACGGCAATGACTTGACAGTCGTGTGTCAGATTTTCATTGATTTTGCCTTCTAGCTTAAAACTGTTCACAATTCAAAATAGTTTTAAGGTATAAGACAAATTTTATTATCTGGACTAAGTTCTGATTTAGGACCAACAGTTCAATTGGGATCAAAAGTTTTCAGTGTTGCTTATATTAGTTTATTATCTATATGATTTTTTCATGTCTAATTCCAGTCCAGTGTTACTCTCAGATAGTTAACAGAATCTTTGTAGAAATAGTTTGTTCAATAATAAAAAAAGAGTAAACTCTAATTTTCCATTTAGTTCCTCCATTTTCCTCCATTTATTTTGATTGCTGCTTTAGCCTATTTGTGACAGTTAGGGATTTGAGTGAATGCTGAGTATTGATGTGTCATATCACCGAATGTTTTGATAGTTTGTTTTGGTGATACCAGTTAATTTAACCAATTGTAATCCATTAAAGGGACTTGTGGTTATACAATCATGGAAAACATATCGACTTATCTCTTTATATTATATATATTTTGAATACGTGCATTTAGCTCAGTTTTCTATTATTAAATTTTTTTTTTGTTTTTAACGCTTAAGTGATTTTAAAACCTACAAATATCAAAATATATTATATAACGTATTTTCGCATTTATTGTAAAACAATTTGCATAGCTGGAATGCAATCTACTTTTGATTGCCAAGTGCAGGCCTCTTTGCGAAATACTATATGTTATGTATCGAACAAATTTTTAATTTATTTTTCGGTTTCGTAACTGCAAATCAATTTAATTAGAAATAATTTTTGCAACAAGAATTCAATTCATGAATTTTTTAACACAAAGTATCTGTGTATCTATGTATGTGTGTATCTGTGAGTATCCATTGTTGCGAATGTAGTCACGTGTAGACAACATAGAAAACCTCAATTGACATAAATTTTAATCATTTGATTCAATTTAGCAAATCACAGTCGCAAACGTTACCCAAGACGGCTTGGATTGCGTGCTAAGCCTTAGAATTTGTCTAGAAAATCATAAGAAAAATCGGATTCGGCAAAGTGCATTGGCGATTCAGTTCCTCCGCATAGCAACTGACTCGGTGCCCAACTATTAAATTTATAACATATCAAATAAATATTTACTTAAGTTATTAGTTTTTTTCACTTAAGTGTTGTTATCTTTATTCGATTTACAAGTGTTTTTTTTTTATATGTGAAAACTATTGATTGCTGTGAATTCTCGTACGTACGACGCTTAAGTTTTGTATATATACAATATTACTATATATATTACTTGACATTTGTGGTTCTTAGCCAAAGCTATGACTACTAATTATATACAAAATATTATTATGAGATTGTAATATGAGTTTGTTTATTATTTTATATTCCATTGCAACATACGGTTTTCAATTTTATGCCATATATGTACTATATATTATCTGGTTTACCCCCCACTCAACTTTCAGTTCGCAATTCTCCGTAGAATTGTTTAGATACTAAAAGTGTTTTATTTATAGATATAAAGTTATTGTTTATGCATATTTAATAATTATTTCAATGTATATTATTAATACAAACTATTTGGATTGCTTAATGATAGTATTTTGTATTATCTGATGTATTGTTTTCATACGCGTGTTTCCACTGCCTTTAATTACATGATAATGTAAATGAAGTAAGATAGTACATCTAACATTTTATAAGTGCAAATATGAAATTTAAATAAATAAATAAAAAATATGTATATATATGAATTAAAATAAAAGATCAGTCTGTTATATAATATTTATTTACAGTACATCAGTGTTCGATTTTGTATCACTTTAGTACTAAAACTTTAGTAATCATTATTAGTTTATTAAAAACATTAATATGGGTTGGATATTCATTCAATATATCCATTCAATTCAATATATTATAATGCGTTCGACTGCTAAGTCTTCATCTCTCATGGTTTTTAGGGAAGATTTAAATGTAAACTAATATATTTTTTATAATTAAGCCAATTAGTGAATTTATTAATATAATTTTTGGGACTTTCCATACAGTTTATTGAAGCGTAAAGGGTAACTAATGAAGATGAAAGCTAACAGGAAAGACCAAAAAATGGTTCTATATTTCCTTACGACCTATTTATATCATTCCAAATTTACCGTGTGGTATTTTGGAGGTTAGTATTTTGTTAGTTAGTACCAACACCCGGCTATACCCGGCTGCCTACCGGGTATAAGTGAATAAAATTAATATTTTAGATAATTTTCTCACTATTACGACCTTAACAATAAATTGAAATTAAATTTAAGTTGTGTCCGGTGTAAGTTATATATTCCACATTTATGGTATTACTGATGCTGTAGAAACCACTAAAGAGCAAGTGTTCAACATTCAATATTCTAATGGAGTTCTACCAAATAACAATGTAAATAATGTAGAATATTAAATTCTTAACATACAGTAAATTACCATATTAACTAAATTTATGAAAATTAAATAAATACAAGTATATTATGTGATATTATTAAATTAAAAATTTTTTTCACAGGTTCTCCGGAAGGTATATATTTATTATTGATTGGATCAGAAACAACAGTTCTGGCCTCTAAATATAATTTAAACACGAAAGTATCATTTTGTAAGCTAAAATTCAATTATATTTTAAATATAATAATAATATTTTAAGATTAATATTATTTCAAAAATTATATATTACAGATATCAAATGATGGCGAATATAAAATTAAACTTGCCGTTCAGGTTGAGGTTGTCTCCAATATATTTTAAAGCTATGATTTTTCGCATGTACCTAGACTAGTAGTAATTAAAAATTTCTGTAAAACTTTAAATAGTAATACCTATTATATTATAACACCTATTTTTTATGCGGAATATTGTAAAGCTAATTTTTAAATAGATAAAAAAGCAATATTATTGAAGAGCTAATAAATAGGTTTTAGAAACCTATATTAACTTTATTAGATTAATTTTTTTTTTTTTTGATTTTAGAAAATATAATTCCGGTAATGTTTTTGAATGTTGTATCATTCCACAATTAAATAGCATTTTATGTTTTGGTTTGTTCCAATGTTTGGCCCCGGCTAGTTACCATAGTTCCGAAGGAAATAAGCCGGTGCATACAGTCCACTTAGTCAAAGTTATGAAGTGTATGTCAATATTTGTTTTTAAAAATTGTAAAAATTAAATAAATTATTATTAGGTTCAGGTTTAAAAATTAAAAAAAAAATTAAAAATGAAATTAAAGTTTGTTTACATATTATGTATATTAGTTTTTATATTTCACAAAACTGAAACCATTGAAGTAAGTCAGTGACATCTGTACGAATTGTATATACTTATTAATAAAGTACATTTATTAAAAAATTTGAAATATGTTTAAATAATATCAAATTATAAATTTTTTTTTTTAACTTTACAGGAAGTTCCTTCGTTTAGAATTATAGCTCCACAAAATATTTGCAAACAAGATTCTAATGCTACAGCTCTGAAGCTACCCGACGGCATAACTGTTAGGTTAGTATTTTTATTTAATTTGTGATTGGTGAAATAAATTAATAAAATATTTATTTTATATATAGTTTTCAACCAAAGGATGGCTTTAAGCTTTCATACAAGTTTCGAATATTTTTTAAAACGATAGGTCCAGAGATTTTTACACAACGTGAAACATTGATTGTATGGAAAGCAGTGAGAGCCCTTGAACAGCGGCTCAACACCAAAGATCGATTGACGATTTCTAAGGATAACATGGTTTTCATAAGTAAAGCTGAAGTAAGTAAGGTGTAAAATGTTGTTACCTAGTTCATACCTTTGTATAGATTTTTTTTTAATATTAATTTTTTGATCTATAAATCTTATTTTTGAACTCCAATTTTAAAATTGTATTACTATAAATGCACATTGTTAAACGAACTAAATGATGTTGTAATCTATTAGCAATAGATAATGTTATTTATCCCAACTAAAATATATATATAAAACCAAATGATCAACAATATTAGAAAAATAATAACTATTTTTGTACAAAGTTATTGTAATATCAAGAAAATCGGTTTTTTCCCGAATAAATCTAACTTCATATCAGTCTGGAACCAGTATTTCTTTAGATAAATCATGATATATCAATAAATATAAATTATAAGCAATAACCTATCCTATTTGATTGCTTTCACACCTTACTCTGTCAACAGATAAAATATACTGATATACTTACATTATATATTTATAGTATAATAGTAACAATTATATATATGTATGTGTATGTGGTAGTAAAACGGTGAAAAATCGGTAACTGAGATACATGGAAAGTTATATATATATGTGTAGTTCTATTCCTTCCAATTATAGTAAACACACAATTTGCTCAATATCATCATCTTTACAATAAATGTAAAATGGCACAACGCAAGGCTCTGAGAAGACTTTTCAAGATACCATTGTACATTAGGACTAATGACATCCTCAGGGATCTCAAGATTGATCTGATTAAAAAATATACAAAGGATAGAGCCCTGAAATTGTTTGCGAAAACTGACAGACTTACCAACACCGTGTTATCAAATCTCAGAATGGTTACAGGCTCCTCGGGAAGGTATGAAGATCTGAGGTCAATTATTGCTTTGTCTGATGAATTGATAAACAATAATCCAGTCAAGACGTAAAGAGAGGTTTTGAAAATACCTCGAATTGAGAAGGAGTAAAAGTGCTTAAGTGCACTGGCTCAAATAGCTTCAACATAATTATTTAAATTTATATTATAATGATATAATTTTGAATATGAAGTAACTTTAATCTTTATTTTACTTTAAGGTTGTAGCCGGTGTAAGTTATATATTCCATGTTTATGGTATTACCGATGCTGGAGAAACTACTAAAGAGCAAGTGTTCACCATTCAATATTCTAATGGAGTTTTTCAAAATGAAAATGTAAATAAGAAAAAATTATAACTTATTTTAACTAAATTAAATAAATAATTCCAATATATTATGTCAATAATAATATTAAATTAAAATTTGTTTCACAGGTTCCAGAAGGTATAAATTTGTTATTGATTGGATCAGAAACAACAGTTGCGGCCTCCAAATATAGTTTACATGCGAAAGTATCATTTTGTAAGCCAAAGTTCAATTATTTTGTAAGTATAATGACTTTCAATATATCTATATTAAATAATATATAACTATCTATATATACCACATATACCAAATTTGTAAGTTATTGATTTTTTTGTTTTACAAAAAAAATATTTGGTTTCTTCAATACAGTGTATTAGAGATAATTATCACACAAACACGATTTACTTATAAAAATAGCTTATTTGAATTATATTGAAAATAGACTCTCTAACTATTTGGATGAATCATATGAAGCATTTCTTAACTTTAAAAATAAAGCCTTCTCCATAGATTTTATAGTGAATGATTTTAACTTTTTTCATATTGAGTTATCTGTGGCAACTTATTTGTTCGACTTATAACACAAAAAAAACCTAACCTAAGAGATTGAGTAATCGCTTCCTGCATTTATATATAATTACAACGAGAGAGCTTCCAATGCTGAATATAAATAGCATCCGACTTATCGCAGGATTTCTCACAGACTTTGTTACGAAGAAGAGAAAACAGCAGAAGACATTTTGTGTCACTGTGATAGCCTTGCCAGACTCAGACTTTAATACTTATCAACTGCCTATCCCCTTATAACTGAATTAGGCTACATCTCTCCAAAGGACATAATGGCGTTTTTAACTGCTACTCGTCTATACTACTAGGGTTTGTCACAATTTTACTCAAACGATGCCATAACAATAATTCTCAAACGATGCCGTAACGTAGTGACAAGTTTTCAACCCTTTTAAATTTAATCTAATCTAATCTAATTTATATATAATTACAATATGTATAACTTCAAGAGTATTACAAGGTTTATTATTCCATCATAATATTCATATTACAAAACAGTATGTCCATAAATGTGCCATAGAGCTGAACCTAAAGTAATTTTGCCGATTGCCGACTATTATTTCAGGTATCTATGTTTAACTACTTCTCGTAACACATCAGATATCTGAATATTACTCGGTCTTATAAAGTTAAAAAAAACTAACTTTTATTACCGGAATTACTGCATACTTTCCAAGACTTATAATTTTTACCAGAACTATACAGAACTATAGAACAATAGTCTCATAAATTATCTTATAATAAATTTTATATTAAAAATATATTATAATATAACAAAAT